GGAAAAAGTGTGGAAGAAAAAGATGCACAACCAACCGAGAGAACCGCAGACTTATGAGGATTGTCAAGCAAAATCGATTCAAGAATTTGAGTAAACTTCACAAGGAATGGACTGAGGCTGGGGTCAAGGCATCAAGAGCCACCACACACAGACGTGTCAAGGAATTTGGCTACAGTTGTCGTATTCCTCTTGTTAAGCCACTCCTGAACCTAGTTCTAGTATCTTGGACAGAAAAGGGAGATTCGAGATCAGTCTGTAATTAACTAGTTCTTTGGGGTCAAGTTGTGGTTTTTTGATGAGAGGCTTAATAGCATCAGTTTGAAGGTTTTGGGGACATGCCCTAATGACAATGACGAATTAATTAGTTCTCCCTCGTGGTGGGCATTGTCGCCGGCTCTCGCACCTGGTCTGACGGGTTGAGCTCCACGTATGGGGCAATCCTCCGCTCAGTCGCTCGGCTTGGCGCTGGCTCGTCGTTCGCGGTGGGAATTGGCTCTCTGTCATCGGTGGGCTCGGGCTGTTGCTCCGCACCATGGGGAGATGGTGGGCTGGGCACTGGGTCTGGAGTGGATCTGACGAGATCATCCACGGGGCAGGTGGTGGATGGTGATCCGTTTCTCGCCAGAGTCCACTCCACGAAGGAGTGGACGCTACACGTCGTCCGGGTAGCTGGTGGTGCTAGCTAACAGCCGGAACAGTCTTGTATGGTCCTCGAGAGATCTGTCCCCCTGCTCCAGCAGGAGGAGGAGGAATTCCGGGCGGGTGAAGGGGAACTACGGAAACAAAAAAAACTGTACCAAACGAAAAACAAAAACGGAGGGTAGGCATGGAGGTAGCGGTTTTGGTCGGTTCTTCTGTCACAGTTCGCTGTTTAGGAAGCATGCAAGAGGCACAAATAAATGAAAACATTCTTTAATCAATGGAACACAGGGTACATCCACACTGGAAATGGCAGGAAATGGCAGGAGGTCGATCGCATCAAATGAATGAAATGCGTCTTTTTTAAATCTTATTTAACCAGACATTGGTGGGTGGAGCTAATATAAATAGCGCTTGCCAACAAGTGCGCTATTTGCACTTAATGTAAAGCCCCACAAATACAATAATGAGTTAATTCAGTGAAAGATTGGTCAAACTGAATCATTAAAAGAAGCTGATTAAATTATTCATTTGTGAACCAGAATACACTTGATTGTTTTTGTTAGGACAGGATGTGTGCAGTGTTTTTATCTCATCAAATTCAGACTGCAAATTTACATTCACAAATCAGGACAATATGGCTTTTTTGTGGTGCTAGAGATTCAATGTCACAGCTTACATTGACAGAATCGTGACAGCAACTGTACTCAAAAATGTACAATACTGCCCATCTCTAATTAACATAAAATGCATGACATGGCTGGTCAAGGTCAACTTTATTATCCCCAGAGGGCAATTTAATTCACAGCCAGCAGCAGTGAACAATACAATCAAGAAAACAATCACCCACCACCACAACACACATACAAAATCAAAGACTTCCATAAACAATATGCATAACATTTTTTGGAATTTAAAACCGATGGCAGCTGGTATAAAATAATTTTTACATTTAGCAGTCCTACATAAAGCGACATACTGTCAAGTTGAGGTCATGTGATCTCAACATGACAGTACTAATGAAAGACGATTGGTACCTCTTCATAAATGTAGAATAAAACATTTGTAGAAGTCTAGAAGTTTTTGTTTGTTTGTTTGTTTGTTTCTTGAAGACTGATAAGTCTAGAGTCTCATCGCACAAATTAATGGCATATTTCCAAAAGTGCTGTTCATTTTTTATATGTAAATCATTTTAATCAGCAAAGCATCACTCAAAAAGCTAAGAAGTACACTTGTAAGTGGTGGACAAAACATTGTTATTATATGTTTTGTAAGACACGATTCCACCTGCGTCCATCTCCTCCAGCAGGCCCTCCTTCCCCTCTCTTCCAGAGCTTTCTTAGCATCCGGATACTCCATTACAGCCTCCATCAGGTCATCCTTTGACAAACAGAAGAGGTCAGAATAGCCAATGCTACGGATATTAGCTGTGCGTCGGTTGCCTATTTTGCTGCCTTTGATATTGAGGATGCTAAGCTCGCCAAAGCAGCTGCCAGCCGTCAGGTGTGCAAACTGGGTTACCCCATCATCAGCCACAACAGCAAGGTGACCCTCTTTGATGATGTACATCTCTTTTCCTATGTCTCCCTTTCGGCAGATGTAGTCTCCGGGACTGAAGACCTGTGGCCGCAGCTTGAGCACCAGTTCAACCAAAAGCCCAGCTTCACAGTCCTGGAAGATTCGGACCTTCTTCAGTGTATCCAGGTGCACATTGATAGCGATCTCAGCCCGCAGTTTGTTGGGCAGATTCTTTAGGACATCCTGCGCATCAATTGCTTTCTTGTTGGTCCACAAGTAGTCGAACCATTTGATGACTCTGGCTTCGAGCTCTTTGCTGACCTTTCTAAACTTCATGTAGTGTTTGATGGCATCGATTTGAGCCTGGAACTCGGCCCGTGTGGCATTCATGTTTGATATCATGGCTCCTACGTTACCAACAATGGTGGCGAAAATGAGAACACCAAAAAGGAAATCAAAAACAGCAAAAAAATACTCCTCATCATGCACTGGAGCTGGCACTTCCCCAATGGTCGTCAAGGTGAGGGTTGACCAGTAGAGGCAGTAGACGTATCCTCGAGTGAGTGTCCCAAACTCAGGATCAGATATGTTTGGGTAGACCCACTGGTCGGATCCAAATCCCAGAGACTTAGAGATGGCAAAGTAGATACAGGCATTCCAGTGAATAATGACTAGGATATAGAGCACCAAGTTGCAAATTCTGAATATGTTGGGGTAGCTTGTGCGGGTCTCACTGCGGTCGAAGAACTCAAATAGACGTGAGAAGCGCATCAGTAGATTGAAACGCAGCTCTGGCACATGAATGCCAATGGCGATGTAGGCTAGATCAGTGGGTAGTATGGATAGCAGGTCTAGCTTGAATTGCATTGCGTGAAAATAGCTTTCTCTTAACTTGGTTAGGTCCTTCACCAGAAGACCCTGCTCAAGGAAACCTATAGTGAAGAAATACATTGTCAGATCTTCATGATTACTCATATTCAATGTACCAAAAATGCCTATTGAATTGTTAGAGCAAAGCGTCACAGCAACTTTTCCAAAAACATGATAGACACTGTAAGATTCTGACCTGTTCTCAGTCTCACACAGGTATCCAGTATATAAATGACATCAGAGAGATAATCCAAAACCAGCCACAGAATGAAGTTCCTAGTTTGAAGATCATCAAAGCAGGCCCTGTGTTTGGGATATAATTAATAATGAAACACCATCAGCTTGAGTCAGGACTAACCCTTTCACACATGACACAAAAGCACTTATTTACATGAATCATCATCAAAATGAGAGCCCAGATCACATACTTGCTCTTGAGGTCTAATTATGCCGCTTGGATTTAATGGAAGAAAAGCTGCTACAAATACCTTCCTCACAAGCCCTACATGCAGCATTCAGAATCTATGATGCTTATCCGACTGGGAGCAATTTGGAGTTCAGGTCCTCTGAAGCGCTCTAAGAAAGAATCTGGCCTTTCTTCTTCTTCCTGAAGGCTTTTATGGGCCCATTCTCTAAGTGTGACCACCATACTGACCAGCCTTGGAAACTAAGGGAACTAAGGAGTCAGTGTGGAAATACCAATCTTGAGCAATCACATTCTTCTAGAATTGTATTTCAAGAGTTTATTTTATTTTCTCACCCAGTCTTAACATTAATAATTGTAAACGATCCAGAGACTTGATGCTTGACACTTGTAAGTTCTGATGAGTTCCTTTATCCACATTGCTACCAAGGCACAGCTATCTAATCTCTTGCTCTTCGGTCAAACCTTTTCTGGAGCAGAATATCCCAGTGTTACACCTAATAACCTTCTTCAAGTTCCTTGTCTACAGATATGGTGAACTTTGAAATGTAGTGCTCTTTCCGGATGTGTGGGTCCTCTCGGTTTGGCAGATAAAAAGGCTTTGGGCCTTCCAGCAATGAGGACTCTTGCGACACCCGATGGGAGATCAAGACTCACGGTATCGGATGGATAAGTCTCGCTTGCTGGCGGCAAGTATAGAAGCCCAACCGGGAGTACTCTCGCCGACATCTGACGGGAGATCAAGACTCACTGCATCAGACGGGTAAGCCTCGCCGGGCAGGAAGAGAGAAGAAGGAAAACCCGACTGGGAGGGCTCTCGCAGCATTCGATGGGGTATCAGACTCAGAACATCGAACGGGTAAGCCTCGCCAAGTGAGGGGAAAAGACGTGAGGTTAGCTGAGAGGGTTCTGACAGCATTCGGCTGGAGATCGAGACTCATGACGTCGGACAGTTAAGCCTCGCCAACCGTCGAACGGTAAAGTAAAGTTATGTGGCTGGGAGACTCTCGCCGACGTCCGACAAGAGCACACAGCATCGAACGGGTAAGCCTTGCCGACCGTAGGATGGAAAAGGTAAAGTTGTCTAGCCGGGAGGCTCTCGCTGATGTCCGACGGGAGCTTAATACTCACGGCATCGAACAGGTAAGCCTCTCCGAACGTAAGACGGAAAGGTAAAGTTGTCTGGCCAGGAGGCTCTCGCCGACATCCGACGGGAGCACATTAAGTGATTACATTAAATGGTTTGATGACTAATGAGGGTTTGGTGGGCTTTTTTGATGTGAAACTGGTTAGTTAACTGGTGAAACTGGACCATCTTCCTAGAGTTTGGATCTGTTGCTTGGATAGACCTTTTTGGGCTGCTGATGTTGCTGCCCCGATGCGAAAAGAATGGCTGGAGAAATTATTTGCTGGGATGCCCGACAATTGCAGGACGTTTTTGGAACCAGAAGCGAGTGACGGGTGTTTTGGAGTCGTCTAAAAATAGTGGCTCGTGGGGGAATTTAGCCTGAGAATTTATAAGGCGGAGGTACTGACGGGAGTTCAATACTCACGGCATCAGACGGGTAAGCTTCACATCTAGTCTGACGGAAAGGCAAGGTTTGCTCGACCAGGAGGCTCTTGCTGCATCTGATGGGAATTCAGTACTCACAGCATCAGATGGGTGAGCCTCGCCAGTAGTCGACAGAGAAACATATTTGCTCCACCGGGAGCACTGTACATCTGTAAGGGAATTCAATGCTCAGAACAATTTGAGTTGTCTAAAAGGGTAGATGCTATGAGGATTACTTTGCGTAATTGTTTGATGAATCCAATAAGCTTCTTATAAAACGTCAGAAAATCTTGGTGTTGCTTTGCATCTGAAAGTTAAGCCCACGACAAAATAGAATTTCCTGTGCCAACTTACCCCAAATAAGTGCCGTGAATCTGTATGGATAGGCATAGGTTTGAAAGCTGAGGTGATGTCGACTTTTGCCAGCCAAGTGCTAAGACCCGTGATTTTATTATATTGATTGCATGATCAATGTCCTACTATTGAGAGGGAATTAGTCAAGGAATCGAGGTGTTTATGCTTGAAAACAGGCAGTTACTTGGAGCTTAGAGAGTGATATATATATATATATAAATCATTCTGATATGCTGATTTTCCGCTCGAGAAACATTTATTATTATTATTAAAGGGATAGTTCACGCAAAAAATTAAAATTCTGTCATTAATTACTCACCCTCATGTCGTTCCAAACCTGTAAGACCTTCGTTAATCTTCGGAACACAAAATAAGATGTTTTTGATTAAATCCGAGAGCTTTCTGACCCTCCATAGACAGCAGCACAACTGAAATGTTCCCAGACCCAGAAACGTAGCAAGGACATTGGTAAAATAGTCAATGTGATATCAGGGGTTCAACCATAAATTTATAAAGCTACTCATTCTTCTCCTCCTCATCCCGTCTGCAGCGGTGTGCTGCCATTGTGGAAAGAGTATCACGACGCATGCGCTTGCTTCCGCTTCATGTAAATGACGCATGTTTATATGAAGGGAAAGGCATACAAGTGAACACCGGGACAGGGCATCTCGCTGCATCAAGAAATAAGTTGGGCAGTGAGAGTTGTCTTCTGAGGTGAAGACGTTGACCTCTGCCCTCCCGAAGACAGACCAAATCATTTGAACCATCTGAGGGTGTATTCTCCATTCTCATGGAGCTACGTTGTCTCTGGGCAGCATGTCCGCTACAAGGCAGACTGCCTGGCACATGAACTGCTCTTAGTGATAGGAGTTTGCTCTGTGCCCAAAATAGGAGGACCCTAGCCATCCTGTAAAGGGAACGTGACCTTAGACTGCCTTAGTAATTGATGTACACTACCACCGTCATGTTGTCTGACTGGACCAGGACATGACGCCCCTTTAAGGCTGGCAGGAAGGTTTTTAGGGCCAAGAAAACAGCCATCATTTTGAGGTAGTTGATATGCAGCCGTTGCTTTGGGTTTGACCAGGAGCCCAAACGCCAGAATGCCCTCAAACAGAGCTCCTCAACCCGAGTTGGAGGCATCTGTCAAGACTACCTTCCTCCTGGAGGTCAGTCCCAACTGCACACTTGATTGAAACAGGTGAGGAGTTGTCCAGGGGCCACAGCTCTGATACAGTGATGGGTTACCCTGATGTAAAACCGGCCCAGGTGCCAGGCATGGGACGGGACACGGACTTTGTGCCAAAACTAGAGAGGCTGCATTTGGAGCAGGACTAGTGGAATCACAGAGGCAGAGGCTGAGCATACTCTGAAAAGCACTGAGAAGACGCGAGGTCCTCTTCTGTATTGACTAAAACCAACCAATCGTTGAGGTATTTCAAAATGGATTCTCATCTGCCTCAGAGGGGAAAGAGCCAAGTCTATGCATTTCGTAACAGTGTGTAAGGCCAGAGACAGTCCAATGGCAGAGCTGTATATTGATAGGCCACTCCCTTGAATGCAAATCTTAAGAATGGTCTGTGATGGGGGGCTATGTGGATGTGAAAATAAGCGGCTTTAAAAATATTATTTGTGTGAGGATTTATTTGCCGGCAGCCATATCACCCTGTAGCCCAAGATTGGTCATTCACTGAAGCTAAGCAGGGTTGAGCTGGTCAGTACCTGCATGGGAGACCTCCTGGGAAAACTAGGTTGCTGTTGGAAGAGGTGTTAGGGAGGCCAGCAGGGGGTGCTCACCCTGTGGTCTGTCTGGGTCCTAGCGCCCCAGTATAGTGATGGGGGACACTATACTGTCAACAAGCACCGTCCTTCGGATGAGATGTTAAACCGAGGCCCTGACTCTCTGTGGTCATTAAAAATCCAAATCGATGTCTTTCGAAAAGAGTAGAGGTGTGACCTCGGCATCCTGGTCAAATTTGCCCATTGGCCTCTGACCATCATGGCCTCCTAACAATCCCCATATCTGCTGATTGGCTTCATCACTCTGTCTCCTCTCCATCAATAAGCTGGTGTGTGGTGGGCATTCAGGCGCACTATGGCTGCCATCGCATCATCCAGGTGGATGCTGCACACTGGTGGTGGATGAGGAGATATCCCTCACAATATAAAGCACTTTGAGTGCCTAGAAAAGCGCTATATAAATGTAATGAATTATTATTATTATTATTATTATTATATTTCAGCGTTAAGGGAGGAAGTGGTGGCTGAAAAAGCCTGCCTAGCTGTTCTCTGTAGGAACCGTATCCACTGCGCCTTTTGCAAGCAGTGTTTGTACTTCAGACTGGAGAACATGAGCTTCATTGTCCCATACTGAAGTCTGAGTAATACCTCTGAAACGAGGTGGCCTGCGAGCAAACTGAAGTGAATAACCTCCTTTTATGATATTTAGAACGCAGCTTGAAACATCCACGATGGCTTGCTGTTCTATTTTTACGAATGTTAGTTCTCCACAAGGGGGTGAGGAACTGACTTTCGTGGCAATGAGGAGAGGAGAATAGCCCGTTTGAGTATGTGGGTCTGCCATCAAGCGGTAGTTTGTTTGAGCGCAAGCTGAATGAGAAGGACTTGCCCAGCTTGAATAGAACTTCCATTGCTCAGTGTTGAACGGAGGGGATGGAGAGCAAGCGCAAGCTTTCATTAAGGGAGTTCTAGCCTCAGCAAGAGGCATTTCCTCTCAAAAGTGCTTTGCTAGACTCAATACTCTCACAGTGAGAGCAGCCTCACAGTGAGGCGTGGCCCAGATGTGTCTAAATGTGAAGCTGTCAGTGATAATAATCATCAGTGACAGCTTTCTCTATCATTCTGCCTAAATAAATCAAACCACTCGAGATGAGGGGTCCCGATTATCCTCACATGTAAACACACCAGATCAAAGTGCTGTGCGCATTAGGGATGTGCCCGAATCCGAATATGGTATTCGGAAAGGTAATGAAGTGTAAGACAGCATCCTAAAGGGAATAAAAATGAGACATACGAGAAAAATATATTTCAATGCTTTCTCTCACAATGATATCGTTGGGTAATTCATAATTGGGTAATCACTGTATATAAATTGCGGACATCAGGGCGCCGTTATTAATATGCAGTACATTGAAATCACTTATGAATGCACGTTTGCTTTTTACTTTCACTTTTGAGATTCGCGATCACACGTAGCCTACTCTACTACGGAGAGGCACTACTTACCACACATTTCACAAGATTAGATGTTTGTCAGTGGTGCTCAGGATCTGCAAATCATTCGCCATCATCCCCAGTCATCTCTCCTTACCTCTCTCTGTTTATGTGGTAAGTGAAATTTTATGTACTGTAATGTGTAGTGTTTGAATGCAATCAAGATGTTCGATCAGGTTTTAGGCATCGTAAACTTTCCCTTCTCCCTTGTTATAG